CAGGAAGGGAGAATGCAGGGAGGAAGGGGACAAGCTGTTTTCACTGGTGGCCAGCGATAGGACGAGGGGTAATGGCCACAAGCTGAAGCACAAGAAGTTCCATCTCCAGGTGAGGAGCAACTTCTTTACTGTTAGGGTAACAGAGCAGTGGAACAGGCTGCCCAGGGAGGTGGTGGAGTCTCCTACTCTGGAGGTCTTCAAAACCTGCCTGGATGCCACCCTGTGCCACATGCTCTAGGTGTGCCTGCTTGAGCAGGAAGGTTGGACTAGATGATCTCTAGAGGTCCCTTCCAACCTTAAATATTCTGTGAATCTGTGACTCTGTGAGGAAGAATCCTCTAATTCAGCATCTTCCTTACTTCAGGCTTCACTACAGCTTTTGGAACACCACCCAGATTTCCTCAAGCCAAAATCAAAGAGCTATGTTTCAGATAGAAACGTAACTCCATTTTCTGAGGCTTTCTCCCATGTCCCCTGTAGTTGAAATTCCTTTATGGTTCTTCCTTTTAGAGGGAATCTCCTTGAGATGCTGGATTGCTCTGGATGAACTTGGCCTATCTCAGAGTGCAGGAAGGCCATGACTATTGCAATACAATGCAGAAATGAGATACAGACACCTCACTGCTACTAAGGACAGCCAACACATCGACTATGTGTACCTTACAAGAAAAAGAGACACAGAAGTTTTGCGATCAGTGCAGGCAACTTTTCCAAAAGTCAGTTGTATGAAACCTCTCTTAAAAACACTTTTTAAAAAAGTTATTTTAGGCTGTTTTTTTTGTAGTTGGGGGTCTAGAAGACAGATCCAGCTAATGCCTGCCACAACAACTAGGATTAACAGCAATCTAATAAATCACCTGATATCCAGAGGCATATTTTGTGGCAAAATTATTTACTGCTGCTCACACCAGAGTGCTATAAGATGATGGTTCATTAATTTCATATTAATTCTCAAAATTAAACACAACTCTGAACTGGTTTCCAAAACACATCCTCTTACTGCAAAAAGTACTTTGAAAACATGGCAAAT